GTTCTGAAGGCAAAAGGGGGTCCAACCTGTTACTAGCGTGGTGTACCCAATAAAGTGGCCGGTGAGTGTATATTTTGCTTCTCTTAGGCCACCAGGATGTAATGAATGCTTTCATTCTCGTTTTTCAGCAGGAACATTTTCAAGCATCTGATGTGAGAATAACTTCACAAGGTCCACATCTTCCCTTCCACAATCCCCAAACTCCYCTTCCTCACAAGGAGCTCCCTGCCTCCAGGAGAGATGCTGCCACTCTGACAGAGACGGGGGACGCGGGAGGAAGCGCTTGGAGTCTCGGTCCTCCCAGGCGAAGGAGATGGCAAATCCATAAACCGAGAGAGCTCGGCAGCTCCGAGGAGGAGCTGTGCACAGACGAAGAGCAAGGCTTCGATTTCAGTCGCCGAAGGAGGCAGGACAAAGAGCCTAAAGAGGAGAGGAGAACACAAAAACACAGAGTGGACAGGTGCTTTTAGAAATGAAACTTATTGTTCGATCAGCTGCAGCAGGGAGAAACTGTRGGCTTTGTTCTTTCTTTGCTGAGTTTTTTTGTCTCGTCTGTTTTATGACAGAGACTTTCAGGACCTATATGTGATGGAGGCTCCTGTTCTTTCTCATCAGAACAACAAGGATCTKGTTTTGGAGTCTGAGTAAGGAGGAACCCTTTTTCTTCTTTTTTAAGATATCAGATAATAAGATAAGACAGACCTTTATTGTCATTGTACAGAGCACAATGAAATTACAGTTCAGAACACCCATTCACAAAAAGACAGAACATAACAAACATAGGAGAACAGGTGCTCTGGGTCATGCTGCCTCTGACCTTGCACAGAGCAAGGATCATCTTCATGAAGACATCACGAGGAGGCGCAACCCTGAAAAGAAAAACTAAAAACCACAAAAGGGAAGATGAGGGGGGGAACAAAACAAAACATCATATTACATCAATAATGTGACACACTATGGTGTTTATAAAAAAACCTCTGCATGGAGCAGATTTATTAGCCAGAGGAGTAAGTGAGTTTAGGGGTGTGTGTATCTGAAGCCATGAGTGTTGTACGCTTGTGTGAATATCTGAAAAATGAGCCTGAAGAATCGAGTCCCCAAAACACGCGCAGCAATAGTCCATAATATTGATGGTAACTGTTTGTGCGGCCCTCAGCTTGCTCCAGGAACCAGATCACAGACGGGTGTGAGAGGGAGGGAAGTGAGGGGCAGACCCTCAATCGACGTAAACATCCAGGAAGATTTAGTTCCACAGCTCAAGGAGAGCAGAAGAGCCAGATTCTGTAATCAATTGTTTTGGGAACAGAAGAAAACTTTTTGGGTCATGCAGACAATAACAATTTTCCATCTGCCTTCATGTCTGCTGGTAAAACTCAATGWGGTGAATCCAATCAGACAAATAATGTGGACAATCTCGTCGAGCCGAGCTCTCAGCTTCTCCCAGATCAATTCCATCTGGCCAGCAAAGTCCAGGAACCACAGCCGGCCCGCGACCCTCAGCAGAACCGCTTGCAGACAGAGTTCAGCTCGCTCGAAGCTAAAGTCTGAGTGCTGATAGAACAGCAATCCTTCACATTGGTCTGGCAGCCAGGAGATGAACAGCCACCGACACTGTTTTGTAGAACACCWGRAGACCACCAGGCCAATCTGTAGAATCCAGTGATCAGAATCCAAATACATATCCAGAACAGAGCAGAACAGWGGTCCCACCTTTGACATGTCCTCCCATGGAAGAAAACTTCGTTCCAAATTTTTTTTAAGATACCAGCTAACCAAATCCGTAAAAATAAAAATATCCATAATTTCTAGTTTCGGATGAAAACGTAGAGGAGGCTCTGAGCAGCGAAGCAGGGAAAGATAAGTTTGGGCAGGAGAGAGGGAAAAAGCGTCTTACTCCTCCGAGAGCAGGAACAAAACAAAACAAACAAAAAAAAACTAGCTTCAGAGTGGTTGAACTGATTCCTGAATAACTCCTCTTGCATGGTTCAAATTTATTTTCCTGAATGTGTTTAGGTAAAGATTCTTAACAAAAACAAAACAAAAACCTCCACAAATGTACAGAATCAGTTAAAAAAGGCAACAAATACTAACCGTAACAAGTCAGGGCTAGTAATGGCTTCCCTCCTCAGATATTGCTTTTCAGCACTTCTCAGCCCTGCTGTACGGTTTGAGGCCATTAGGATAATTTCCTGTCAGTGATGTGTTACTGGCTWTGATTGAGGCTGGGCTTTGATCCAGCTCCAGGCAAACCAGTGCAGATCCTGGCTCCATCAGAGGAGGCTGTATTGATTAAACACAAGGCTTTATTGTTGACTCTGACTTTTAGTGCAGGATGCTCAGCAGGCCGGTTGTTCGATGTGTGGCGTTGAATTAACGCTGGGCGTGGCTCGGAGGCAAACTGCACCGCACGSTTAAACGCATGCTTCCTGTTGCGTGTCTCTCTTTGTGTGTCTTTGTGCAGCAGTAAACACATCCCAGACAGCATGAGGACAGCTACAAGATCCACACCTGTTACCTACAAAGACAAAGCCGAGTCTGCAACCGGACTCATGATTGGTAAATTGATCAATTTTGCTTCAGAAGAGCAGATGACTGCCCTTAATTTGTACTTTTTGTTACACAGGAGCAACAGAAGACCAGACAATCATTCAACTGAAGAAGGAACAGTACAAGCAGGAACTGCTTCGACAAATAGCTGAACAACAGAGGAACAAAATAAAGTAAGAATATTTTTACTAAATAATTAATTTCACAGAAATATTTAGGTCAACGTGGTGGTTTAGTCCAGTGTTTTTCAAGGTGGGGGGTGGGGG